ATTTTCATATTTGATCTGATTTGCATATCTGTTCCGATTTGCATATTTGTCCCTCTTTTGGCGTTTACCCCCAATTGTGCCCTTCTGTCCCCCCCTAACTGTGAAGTGTACACTTGTCGCCGCTAGGAAGAGGGCACACCGAAAAATACATCAAATTTGTGACACATTCACGGATGAAAACAAAAATTCAATATTGGACAGCGTCACGTGTATATCCAACTGTATAACTGACATGAATATCTTCCCCGCCCCTCATAAATGTTCCAGTTTTAAGATAAATACATAAACTATTTGTTCTCCTCCCAATGGGCTTCTAAATTATGAGGGCACAAAGTGAGACCGTCAAATCATCAACCCCTCTTAGGAGAATCCCCAAAAATAGAGGAACCGTTGTGCGAAATGTCAGCGAAATAAATCCAATGTCACAACAGGAGCTAAAAAATGTCATACATGTGTACTCGGAAGCGAATAAAGCTTATTACCTAAATTGTTTAAAGAATGAAAGAAACCCCAAGAAGAAGAAGAAAAAAAACGTTTCCAAAAAGACGGAGAGTGAAGAATTTGATACACATACCCTCAACCCCTTGAACTACCGAAATGAGAAATTTGAAGAAAATGGAGCTCTTCTACATTTGCCAGGATCCAATCTTACTCCGAATTATATGTCCCAAAACCCAAGTGCTGACTATGGAGTGTCGTCCCTGGCATATGGGACACTTCACAAATCGAATCCGTTATCATGGGGATGTGATTACAAGAAGCATTACGAACTTCCAACTATTTGTTCAATTGTAAAGTCGAAGCATCCCATTTATTCAAGGCCTCAAAATGCGAAAACGGGACGAAAGGACAGCAGCATGTGTCTTAAAAATAAAAGTAAGAAGAAAAATAGCATCAAACAGTTTGGAGAAGGTTGCCAAAATGATAAGTCCTTCACGGTTAAAAAGGTACCCACGTTTGGAAACGGCAAAGAAGACGAAATTGGAGACATTCACCACGATAAGCATAAAAGTAGCGAACATGGATTTGACAAGAACAGCGTCGTAGATACTACTATGAAGGATATCAGCTGTTCCGACAAATCGAAAGATATTTCAGACGGCACTTGTAATTATCAAGGTTTTTCTAACGATTTGGAGAGAAGTAGCGTAAACAATTCCACCTTGGGAGGATTAAAAAATATGCTGGAAGCGCGCGAACATCACTCTAATTTTACCCTCAAAAGGCAGGACTACAACGAGGAGGGTAAAAACCATGCACCCATTATTCAGCACATGAAAAGAAGCAAGAGTCAACATAACGATTTAAATTTTGTAAACCATAGAAGCATAAACGGGATGGAAAATATGCCCTCAGGTAATTCTGTAGACATAATTTTATCAAACTCGACCATAATGGAAATGAGAAATTCAGACACGGAGTCAGAGCGTTCTTACTGCTCGAGTGGAGAACGCAGCGGAGATTCTTCTGACTATTCGAACGATTCACCCATATGTACAAATAAGAATGTCAAATCGGATTATAATAATTCGAACGACTATTCAACCCCGTATATGGGAATGCGGCGGGCGGAGAACTACAAGGACAGGGGAAAACGCAAACACAAGCTGGCAGGCCATTCAAGCACTAAAGGGCTCAAACATAGTGGCAAATCAACTAAGGCTAACACATTATCGGCATGTAAAGAAAGCTATTATGACTCTTATTCGAAAGTGGCAGAAAGGAACACAAAACAAGGAAAGGTGTTAATCAAATGTAAGGTGCCTCACCCGGGGGAAAAACACAACCCGAACGGTTCCACAGATGTAATGTGGGGAAACAGGAACAACAAGAAATCGAAGCAAAGTGGGAAACATAAAAATAACGATTCTTCAAAGAATGGTGTGGACGAAGAGCCAATTTTGTTTGATGAAAATTGCTGCAGTAGAGGAAAAAAAAAAGGAAAGACAAGGGGATTGAGACATGGCAAACATGTGAGGAAGTACAACCTACAGAGCAGTAGCCATGTAAGGAACAAAAAGTCTCCAAACATGAAAACGATCCACCCGTTAGAATGTCAAAATGGTGCTTGTGCAGGTATTCACAACATTGTTTCATCTAAGCCAGATATTAAACAGTCATCGAACGTAGAACGATGCAGTTGCGTCCATGTGAAGAACACACCTGATGAGAAATTTTGTGCAAGAAACGAGACTGCCAATGTGATGTCTAGAAGCACTCCCAAGAGGGAAACTCTAACAAATCGCGAAATGGAAGCACATGGTGAGGGAGGACCAATTTACGCATATGCCTTCCGAGCCGATACAATGCCGAGGACAGCATTAGTCACTTATAACATGTGTGAGAATGTACCACAGGGAGGAATGAAAAATCTATCTCAAAATGTTTTTGCTGAAGTCCGACCCGAGTTAGCTAATGTTAATTTGTGCGTACAGGAATATCCCGCAAAGAGGTATCAGTCGGCATCCGTTCTGCCAAACTTCTCAGCCCACTCAGTTCCAGAGAGGAATACGCCAATTCCACAGAGCCATTTCGCTCGCGCGCCTCCGCAGGTGATTCACGTGCCAATAGAGGTGTCTCAAGGGAGATTGCACTTGCAGGGGGGAGGATCACAGGTGCAAGGGGTAGCATCACAAGTGCATGTGGTAGCACCTCAGACGCATGGATCACTTGCTCAGAAGCAGGTGCCACTTTTGCAAACAAATGTGCCAATTAGCGCGACGCTAGCACCCTGCGGACAATCTCAATTTGCACTGAAACGTGACGCCCTTCCGCAGGCACACCCTCCACAGAGTCAGGCTCAGAGTCAAATGGCACAGATGCAACAATTGCCATTTGTAGAAAAACCAATTGTTCTTGAACAAATTCCGATGACGAGTGTAATTTCAAGTGGAGAGCTCAAAGCAGCGACCAAGTTTTGCAGCCTTACGGAGTTAACAAACCAGTTAGTATCGGTTAAGGGGGAAAGTAGTGGAGCGTACACTACTGCTCATGGCCTTTCCAAACCGTTTGATCAGAACTGCAATAGGTCCCAGAGCATAGTAGAAAACAACTCGGGTGATTTGTCAAACAAACAGTGCGCAGAAGGCGTTCTCACAAATGCGCTAATAAAGGGAAGTGGCACTATCGACGGTAGGTATACACTTTGTAGCAATTCAAACAAATGCATAGATCAATTTAAAGGCTCTGATGCGAAGGTGACATTCTCAAAGGGGGGAAATGGGATGCCTTCATGGGTAAAAACGTATGTAGACATACAAAGTACAAACCTGAAAGCCGAGGCGGCAAATGCGGGCTACCTAAATGTATACACAAATAAGATAAATGAGAAGACAAACAGTGATGTTAGCAGCTCGATGGGAATTCTTCACTGTCTTTCAAATATAGAGTCATCCACGGGTGAAGTGTACCACCAACCTGATGCTTCTAAACATGTTGCGCATAAGAAAAGTGTGAATCCAAAGGATATGTCTCAGTTAATTAAGACGTCAAATGAGAAATTGATAAATTTGCAAAAGAAACAACTGTTAGACATTTTACAGGAAAAGGGAAACGACGGAGTGAAGAAGACCACTCACACAGTGGATAGTAGCCCCCACACCAATGGAGAGTTAAATGTTCAATCCATAAATCATGTGGGTGGAGAAAAATATCAGAACCTGTTAGGTAGTACGGTCCAGTACTTCTCCTACGCAAATCCCGCAGAAGGTCTGCAAAACTGTGCAGATGAAACAGAAGGGGTAATCTTTTCCGCTACACCCCAAGAAATAAGCAGCAAGAACCAGCCGGCGCAAAATACCCCCCAAGTACCGGTCCATTTAAACTGATTGATCCCTCCCCCACGGAAAGGCAAAGCATGCAAAGTATTAAACGGGTTGAAAATGTTGGAAATGTTGAAAATGCTAAACCTGTTGAACGTGTTGGAAATAATCGGGGGGAGGGGAACGGAAGAGAATTTGAAGGCACAGAGTTGGAGGGAAATTTACCCCTTAAAAAATCTGTAAAAATATATTTGCACAATTCGAACGAGGAGAGCTTGTCTAAAGGCAGTTCCACGAATGATCCTTCCAACATTGGATTCACGAAGGAAAACTTGAATCTGCTTTTTAATGCAGACGAGGAAAGGAATTCACTCGACAATGTTGATAGCGGGGATGACAATACACCCACTAGGAGGGGGGAGGAAAATTGTCCACAAGGTGATCGAAAAAGTGGTCACAATAACGAATCAAGCGCGCACTGCACAGACCCAAATGGCAACCCGGTCAGCGAAGACAATTCTCAGGAGAACGATGGAAACCTCGTTCATGTAGAAATCGGCGCGAGGTTCAGAGAGGACGACTATGTCAGTGATCAGTGTGCGAGTGACGATGTTGTTCGAAAAACGGGGTGGCACTGCGGCATCAGTGGGGTGAGCAGCAGCAAGATCATCGACCGAATCAGCGGACAGATGAGCGACCAGATCATCGATAAAACGTGGGATAAGACCTGCGATAGAACCTTCGATAAAACCTGCGATGAGGCCATAGACTTGACCAACCGCAGCGACCATGCCGTCAACAGTGGACCCACCGCAGGAAGAAGCAACGGCGGCAATAGCTGCTATACTAATGGCATGGTACGAGTTAATTCTGCAAATAGTGGAAGTGACAACAGCGAAGTTGAACGGGGAGAAGGAATGAATGGCAGCACACAGAGAAGTAATATTGCGGATGATCCATCGAGGAAGACGTACACCCTTGATGGAGTCGAAGGTAGCGGACTGCACAACTTGGAAGGGAAAAATACAAGAGACGTTATTAAAGTTATGTACACGGAACGAGTGGAAAAGTGTGGCCTTGCAGATATAACAAATCAGGGGGGATCACCAAATCTGAAAAAAGAGAAATCTTCTGTTAATCACAATTTTGATAAGGCGAAGAAGCAGAATGGGGCCGGAAAATGGGTAAATTTCAACCATGGCTTTGAGAAATCTCCAAGTTTTAACGAACAAATGGAGGAACTGAAATTTTTAGAAGAAATATATCAGAGGGAAAAGGTGGACAAAGGGGAAGAAAGCGACGCAGAGGTGAATCAAAATTTCAAAGTTACCCCCATTTCGGAGACGGCAAAATTGTCAGTGGCGAGAAATGCTAATCTAAATTGTCACTACAGAAAGGATGCTAATTTTAACAGAGAAGACAAGGTGAAGAGTTTTACCAGTGCATTATCTCATTTGATAAAAAACAACATGGAGGTGAGGCAAAAGGGGGATGATGATCATCCTTTTCGAACATTGGCTCCCCCGGGTCGGACATTCTATGAACCCATTTCTGCAATTCCGGGTAGCTTCCTAGCCGAAGAAAAGATAAATAAAATAAACATAACGTACAGCCATCATCAGGATGGGAACAACCAGGAAGGTCATATGGAAGATCGCTCCATCACGAAAGAGAACTATGGCGAAGGACTTGTCACCTCTAAGTGTGCAAGCAATAAAGAGAAGGACAGGCAATATATGTCTTCTACACAACATGACGTTCCTAACTCGGACTATTCTTTTAATGGGAAGATTAATCTTTCACAGGCAGGTGCAAATGGTGAAGCGTTTAATATGTCGCGGCACTGCCTGGAAAAGGTCACTTTTGTAGAAGCGAATCGACTTTTTGAACACTCCAAAGTGACAAATGTGGAATCACCTGAAGGGAGTCGAAATGGCATTTCTGTACAGAACAGACTGGTGTTACATAAGGACGGATGCGAGAGATTTAATCCCAATTTGATCCATTATGGTTGGCGCAAAAAGGAAGCCCACAGCGTGTGGTCAGGTAGAAACTTGTCCAAGCGAAAAATTAAGCCTAAGAAGGAATTACACCTGAAGGGGTCGATTAAAGAGAGCATATGTGAGAATGATAAGAGAAGAGCTCGCAGAAGAGACACCACTGACAAGAGGGAGAAATATTCCATCCATGTGTCCGATTATTTTTCAAATCGGAATGATGACTATTCCAGCTACATGATGAGTGAGGAAGGTGCGAAGAACCGTTTGGCTAGTGACCTCCCCGTTGTACCCCCCTGCAACGATCATAATTATCCTAGCAGACGAAGTAATGAAACCAAGATGTTAAGGCACGTGGGGAACCAATTCGTCCAGGTGGAAGAGGCACCACCCAGGAATAAACACATCAAAGAAGATATGTTTCCAATCGAGGCACGATCAGGAAATCCTCCACACTTAGGAGAGTTAAATAACGATGTGCCATTCACATGTAATGCTCAAAGTTGCTTCAATAAGAAAAGCACCGAAGGAGAGAATATTCTAGGGGAAAAAAGACTTAGTCGTGGTACTAATAACCAAAATTGCAATAACACCCTATTCTGCTGCCCCGTGAAGGAAGTCACCAGCGCTCCTCCCAGGTATCCTAGAACAGCCACTCTGATGAATAAATTGTTTAGAAAAGCAAAGAGGAGTCCAGAACATGTAGACAAAAAGGAAAACGATTTTAAATGCGCTGACAAAGTATCGAAAGCTAGTTTGGAGGAAACCAAAAGGGACTCGTTATTGAGTAAACGTTCCGTTAATTTTAAAGAAGACAAATCGGACTTATTTGAGCTGCCCACCGGGGAAAAAGGAGGAAGAACATTCGACAATGTTTCAAATGGGGCGAATGAGTCGAGAAGACTGTTCACTAATTGTCCGACCATTCCGTGTGAACCGTTCAAGGAGGGGAGAAGAACAGCTACACAATTGTATAAGGCACAGATAAGATTACCTACATACGATGATAGGGGAGCATACCGTGATAGGACAAAATCCACTAGACGGAACAGCACTACGATGAATACCGCACCTCCTACCGCTATGCCTTACCCTAAGTGTGAGCTTATATGCAGAATTCCGAAGAGAGCCTTCACAACTTATTTTCAAGGCAGAGATTGTTAACGCGGGGTTGCGATTTGGGGAAAGAATAATTCGTAAGAGAAGGCTACTGAAGAGGAGAAGAAGAGAAGAAAGAAAAAAAAAAAGGGGGACATGAGGTGTACGTACACTGGGGAAAAATGCAAAGTTGGGGTGAAGAAAAGGCGCACTCCGTTTTCATCAAATGGGCATCAAAAAAAAAGGGGGGAGAGACACACATGTGCATATCAGCGCATGTTTTGTTCGCTTGTTTGTTTGTCTGTTTGTTTGTCTGTCTATCTGCTTGTTTGTTTGTCTGTCTGCTTCCCTGCACGCTTTTTTTCTTGCTTGTTTACTGACTTATTTATCATTTTTTTTTTTTTTCAAGCTCGTAAAATGCTAAGTAAGAATCATGTGCACATTTAACGGGGCTACTGCTAAATTGAGCAGAATAGGCGGCAACACACATTTTGCACACACGTGGGCGCGTGGCCAGTGGGATCCGAAAGGCGAACGACGTCGCAGCGTAGCGCCACGGAGAGGCCTACACAGATTGACAGAGGATGCACATTAAAGGCAGCAAGTCAGACCAGCACTTTTAATCGAAATCGAAACAATTGCAAAGTCTGCTAAGCTTCGTTCGGAAGGTGAGACTTCTATTTTGGCTGTTCTCCCTATTTGAGCTCCACCCCTTCCAGATAGGAAGCAACTCAAACGGAAGGAGAAGAAAAAAAACAAAACATATTGCGCAAAATGGTACATCTCAGTTGTGATGACAAGCTATATAACAAAACGGAGTTGTATTCCCCAGTGGGACATTCAACTCTGGATAGTGTGTATGGAGCACCTTTGAATTATTTTGATCCCCCGTGGGGGGGTCCGAATGGGAATCTGCTTCATACACTCCACGAGGAGAGAGGGAATAGTGCAGTTATTCCTACGGAAGGAAATAAGAAGAGGAAGAAGAAAAAGAAAAAAACCAAAATTCGCATGTGCTACGATTCTGAGGCACCCACGACCGGTGAAAGAAAAAGTACCGTCGACAATGGTACCTACCTGAATGACAAATATTTTAGTGATTCCAAAAAGGGAGACTACAAACGTGCAATCATAAACATTAGGACAAATGAACCTTCTAGAGAAAGTGATTACACAGATGATACTGAGCAGAGTGTTCCTACTTTGGACAAATGGAAGAAACCTCGAAAGAAATTTATGGGGAAGTATTCTTTTTCCGAGATAGCTAATAGTTTGTTGCATCCTTTAAATGGGTGTCCCTCAACTCCACCTCACTCAGGTGTAGTGAACCCTCGCCTTGACTGCTTGCATTATCGGATAGCGGCGAAGAACAAGAGGAGAGAAAACTGCACCAAGCCGGAAATTATCGTCCGATTTTAGCCAACGCGTATGGAGGAGTAAGCTGTTGAAGCCGGGTTGCTCAGATTGGTACCGAGTGGCAGAGACTACCACAGACTCTTCATTTGAGGCAGATCCTTGGCTGCCCTCAAGTCAATCGCTCCTCTGGAGGGATGTCATGTTTGATCTCCTGCGTGCACAAGTTCGATTCCGCGCCGTCGTCTGACCTAAGCGACGCGTCTGTTTTGTCCACCTCTATATGTTCATAGTGCGCCTTTCGATTTGTCTCTCCCTCTCTCGAGGCATATCTCTCTGTTTTTTTTTTTTTTTTATTAGCATTTGTTATTAATATGGAACACTGCCCTGCCCTCGCTTGCCAAAAGCGGCGCAATTGTTTTTAGCGGAGCGAATCCTGTGTTCAGTTGTCTCTGCGTCTGTCCAGCCTATTACATTGTATGGCCTGCTTCGCCGTCTTTGCGCACCTTTTGTAGGAGCGCGCCACGAATTGTTAACCCGTAGTGACAAGCATCTAAATCCATTTGTCCACGCGAGAGCGCGCTAGTGCGATGGGCCCCAGAAAAAGGTAAAAGTAGGAGCATGTCATGAGTGGCCCGAGGCGAAGTGTCTCTTTTGAGTTGCCGGACAAGCGACCGCGTATCGGTAGAGGGAAACTTCCTCTGGTGTGAAGAAATACCACGAGGGGATAGCATTTTAATGAAATCCTCCATGGGGGTCAGGTAACTACCAGCTGCGGCATAGCAACCAGTGATGAGGACAAAAAGAAGAAAAAAAATTGTGTCTGTGTTTGTCAAGTAGGTTCATAGAGAATGCCGGGGGAGGAATTTTCCCGCGTGCGTATCTTCGTGTGCACAAAAAAGGGGTTTTAAAAAAAAAAGAAGTGGGCGGATGAGTGGGTGGATGGGTGGATGGGTGGATGGCAGTGGAGCCAACAAATGTACATATGTGAACAACCCGATTGTGCGTAGCAGGGGGGGAAAAAATTTTTCCTTCCAATGAGGGGTGTCAAAATTGTTGGTGGTGGCTTTCTCCAAGATGGGTTACAGTTCACTATCCAGCTTTTTTCTTCCTTTCCCCTCTATGTGCCTTCTATCATTTTATTAAAAATTTGTTGAGCGTCCTTACATAGGTTCTTATAGGAATCACTTAATTGAAGATTGGTATCATTTTTAATCACATCTGAGCACTTCCGGAATAGTTGCATGAATAGCTTTTTATCCGTCACTGCTTCTTCTACGTTGAATGTCTCTTTCTCATTGGTGGTCATTTTGATTCTCCTTAATTTAGAGGGGTTCAGAAGGCCCCTTATGTCATTTAGGTTGTCTAGCAGGAGGTAGTGAGTCTTGATATACTTCATCAAATCCGGGTTGTAAATATGTAATTTTAATTCCGTTCCTTTTTTATATATATTTTTCAGTTCTTCTGTGGGGTGGTTCTTAAAACGATTCGTCTTGACGTTATTTTTTATATTTTCGATGAAGGCTTTTCTCTCTTTGACCATTTTGTCCATTTTCAGTTTCCTATTTTTTGTGTCATTTATATCGATGGAGGTGTTTACCCTTTTGACGACGTTTATGAGATCCTGCAGGTTCTCAATTGGGGGGTCTATTTTGTGTTGAACGTAGAATATCCCCTTCTTATCATGACTATCTGTTTCGTCTTCATCGCAGCTTGGGATGTGGTCCTCTGCTGTAGGGTTTGCCCCTCCGTTGGTGAGACGGACTGTTCCTTTTTCACATCCCTTTGAGTTATATGCACCATTTTGTGTCTTGTCTAACCGGGAAGAATTCTTTTTAACAACGCTACTAACCGTCCTGGTGGTGCTGCCAATTTTCCCTCCAAGGGAGAAGAAGGTATTTTCCCTAAGTTGTAGTTCTGCATCCATTTTTATTCTATAAATGTCTAGTTTGTTCTTCAAATTGTAGGTGGCCTTCAAATCATCGATGGTTTTTTTTGCGGCCGTGGAAAGGGAAAGGAAACTATCGAAGGAGGCTTCGAACTCTTTGCTCGTGGGGTCATCCTCCTTGCGCTTTTTTTCTTCCCTGTCTGTGTTCGTGGGGATATCCATCAGTTTGGCGAATGGGTACTTCTCAAATTTTTCCAGCTTCTCCACCGCCCCAAAGCTGAGGCAACGCGTTTCATTCCCCACCACTTGGAGCATCTGTGCGAAGGAGCTCCTTCCAACCCTGTCGCTTCCTGGGTGAAGAACTTTTGACTCCACATAGGCTGATGTCTCTTTGGATAAATTTAAAACGGAGGACAGGGCTTGAAAAAAGTGTTCTTTGCCCATGGATGGCTCCAGGTGCTTGGTCTCTTCCGCTTTATTCGTACACAGGAGGTCATCATAGTGGTTATCACTCAGGGGGTTGACCCAATTGTGAGTCCCCTTGGTATACTTCTTCCTTATTCCATCACATGTGTGAGAGTTTTCCCCCACGGATAAGGTGCTGGGGATGGCCGATTGGAGGTCACCGGTACACACCTTTGAGAGGTGCCCAAACACCTCGTCATAATTTCCTCTATAGCGAAATAGTAGGTCATTTTTTAGCGAAAAAATGTTGTCCATATGTTTATACTGGCTAGACAATGTTAGATTCTCCAAATTGATTTTAGAAAAGTCAAAGAATTTCTTCATTTCGATTTCTACGTCCTCGTTGGAGGTGTCCTCCTCTAGGGAAACATCGTCAGAGAAGTTTAATAAAACGTTCATTAGGATATTTGGATGAATATATGAGTATTTTTTTGAGGGCGGTTCACTTATGTTGTTTCCCCTTTGCGGAAGACAAACCGGTGAGATGTCCCCGCTCCACCGCTTCTGGGCAGTGTCGCTAAGCATATTCACCTCCACCTGAAGGAGGTATGAATCGCTGGTAGCCAATTCAACGTGCTTAAAAAAAACACTTTTCTTCCTTCTCCTCTTTAGTATAATTTCCCTTCCCCAGTTGTTCGTAATAAAATTCAAATTGGCACATTTCTCATGTGTGATTTTTTTTCGCTTCAGTTTCACTATTTTGACGACAATATTTTTGAATAAATGGGGGTTATTCAGCTTCACGTAAATGGAACCCCATGTGCTGTCTCTCTTACTATTAATGCTGACTTTTTTTATTAATTTGAATCGTTTTGTTTTCCTTTCGCAGTTGTAATGGTTGAGGTGGACGTTGTCTATGCCAGCTTCTGTTTGGCCCTTTCTCTTTTCTGCAAGCGGGAGTGATTCACTGCAGTTATCCGCCACTGTGCGATTATCATTTTTTGGATTAACCCCTCCTGAGGAATTCTCCCTCCGACAGTCCTTCTTTACCCCCAGGTCAATATATTCACCGCTGTCGTTGAAGCTATACCTTTTGCAGAAGGATGAAACTTCGTTTAGCCGTATGTTTGTCTTTTTTTTCTTCGTTTGTTCTTCACAGGAGGTGTCTTTGTCGCTAGACGGGGAAGCAATGGCTATCTCAAAATGTAGGTCCTTTCCGATTAGCCTCTCCACCTTTTTTGACACGACGAGAAAGAGGTACGTGCATTCGTCCTTCCCGTCATCGTCATTATTATCGCCTGGAGGAATGCAAATTTTTTGAATGAAATTTTCCATCGAAATTTTGTAAAAGAGGTTTTTCATTCCATTGTGGGAATGGTGTTGTTCGTCTTCGCCTTTGTCTTCCCCTTCTTCTTCGTCTTTCTGATCCATACTGTTCTCATTCTTTTCCGATTTTTTTGTTTTTTTTTTTTTTCTTCCCCTTGCATTTTGCACATCGGAGCTTCCGTTCCATTTTGATACGTTACAAATGTATAGGTCTAAATGGGGAAGAACTTTTAACTCGTTCACTTTGTGAATAACATAAAAGAACGGTGTACGTAAGTTCCTCATTTGAGGGATCGTCACTGTATATTTTAGCAGCACCTTCATCGGGCATTCCTCCCCTATGGTCAGTTTTTTTTTTAAAAACGCCATCTTCATTTTTAACTTCTTTTCTAGATATTCTTCTACACTGATAAAGGAGCAGCTGATCAGTTTTTCTTCACTTCGCGAATGGAGCGAATTGTTTCCATGTTGTGTGTCATCCGATTTTTTTGCCTGTTTTGAGGTTCCCCCTTGTTCTGTTTTTTTTTTCTTCTTCTCGAGCCATTCAACGGAGAAGTCGCCTCTCCTGCTGCGCTTCACATACACAAGGAAAAAATGTTCCATGTTCCCCCTGAGGTGTATATTCCTTTTTCGAATTTCTTCATCAAAGGGGTAGTCCCTCCATTCGTCGTGTCCGCTGTTGTTTAGAAAAAGGTTTGGAGCGAGGACACGGAGGGGGGTTCTTTCCCTGTCGGCTTTATCTCCTCCCTTTGCATCCTCATTTGGTGTGAGCCTCTCTTCGCCTATTTTCCTGACGAAGCACTCGCAGTTGAGGATGTCCTTGGGGGAGAGCATCGCGTGTTTTTCCCCTGAGTGCAGAGCGGAGTTATCACGACAACAGGCGTTACTTCCCTCCATGACTACTTCTTCTGGGACACTGCCCAATTTTGATGTCAATAAGTGGAGAAGTCCCCCTTGGCGGCTGTCAGCGTGGCTGAAGATATTCCGTCTTGTCTCGTTCCTTTTTCGCACCATGGTGTCCCCCGCTGCGCACTTTTTCCTCCTTCCAACTTTGCAGGAGAAAAAAGAAAAACAGAATTCGTGAAGGCCGTCCGATAAAGATTCCTCATTTGGAGCTACACGTACATGATCCGAATTGGTACAACCGTTGCTGCTACTTGGCCCATTTGCCCCATTTTGCGTCTTCAATTCCTCCCGAAGGAGTGACAACTCGGAGTTATTTCCACTCCGATTGATGCGGACAGAACAAATGAGAATAAGGTATGGAAAGCTCTCCTCCTGTGTGGCGTTAGAAGCACTTGACAGAGTGTCACGACTGCTGTCTTTTTTCTTCACTTTAACCTTGTTATGATTTTTTTGACTCCCTTGAATTTTAGCAGTCCTATCTTTAGCATACCTATCCGTGGACGCAACTTCGAAGTGGCTTCTGTTCACGAGGAAAAAAATAGTTTCCCCCTTGGCTAAGAAGCTACCATTCGTTCTTATCAGATATTTCCATGTGTATTTCACGTTGACTTTTTGGGTGAGTCTCTCCAATTCGCCTTCGTCCAGCCATTTGTCGAGGTGCTTGTGGGCGTTCTGCCAGGGTGCACATGTGTACATGTGTGTAGGCGGCACAACGATTGGATAGGTGCGCTGATATGGGTCTGGGTGTCTACCTCGGGGAGAGGCGCCCAGGTGGGGTGACGGCGCTGCGGTAACTGAGGAGACTGCTTACTACGGAGGGGGCTCACTACCGCTTTGAAACTGTTTACTAGCCCCGACGGACCATTCCACGAGCGTCAAAAGGAACTCCCTGCCTGATACACATTCGCACTGGTTGGTTCTATCTAAATAGGCACATCGTGTAGGAATTACCTTTTTGCCCGACTTGGAGGTACCCATTCGGGAGAGTTTTCCATCCGATTCCTCGCTGCCCGTTTTGGGGCGCTTCGTGCTGTTCTTACCATCTCCTAAAATTTTTCTAATTAGTTGGAGCACTTCCTGTGCGTTATCTTCATTCACGGTAATGTCACATGTGTCACAAGTGGCATCACTGCAACTGTCTCTTTGGGGTTCCCTCCTCGTGTCACGTGCGCTGAGATTTTTATCTGTCCCTTGGTCTCCTTCATTTCCCCCATCAGGACTACCCTTCGGGGGAGTCAAAGTATTTACTGGCACCAATTCTGTGTCTTTAATCCGGATGTTTCCCCTATCGTTGATGTAAGCATACCCCTTGAGGAAAACATCCTTCTTTGCTTTAAGCACAGACTGTTGGTAATCCGAGTAGGATGTACAATGGCGAGGCTTCACATTTTCGCATTTTATTTTTATATGTTCTTTTTCCACCGAGCAGATGAGGAAGAAGAAGCGTCCGGGTGTGGGATCCTCATGAGGGGGGGAGCTCTTCAAGGTTTCGCTAGAAGACAAGCGGTGGTTTGGAACCGCACATAGGTTTGCTGTCGTGTCTTCCTGTCTATTCCCAGTGTGCACTAGGTTGGTTGTTTCCTCCGAATGATCAGGGCGTTGTTCCTCCCTGGATGCATCTTTGGGGGCGCGTTGCTCCTCGTGTAAATACTGGGGTGAAGCGGCTACGTCAGCATTGTCACAAAAATTGACGCTACTCCTGTCGCCCCCCCTGTCGCTCCTCCTGCCAGAGAGCACCGCGCAGGGGATGAAGAAACATTTTTCCGTCCGTAGGTGGTCCGCGAAGGGGCTAAATTCGTATGACTTATTTATAAATTTGAGCCCCGTTAACATCTCGAGGAGGTAAAAATGATAATCGGGCAGGGGAAAAAGTCTGAAGCAAGTTAGCAAAGCTTCCATGAGGATATGTGGCCACAACTCTTTCTCATCCAGAGAACGGCAGGACAAAATTTGATTCTTTTCATTGTATGACAGGGTCAGGTGCACAAAGACTAGACGCCATTTATTATTTATGAATAATTTAACCAAATAGTAGCTCAATTTGTTTGGGACTGGGAAGGAGGAACTCGTTTGTGGATGTATCAGCTCGTACAGATAATTCCCCCTAGGTATGAGGGCTTTATTCTCTTTTATTAACGATACAGAGGAGTAAAAAAATCTGAAAAAATCAACATCCTCTCTGTACGTCACGTCCGCATTTCGGCATTCATAATTTTGATACGTCACTATGCATTGCCCATGTGTTTCTGCACCTTGATCATTTTGGTGCTTGTTAAAATGTTGTTTCGTGTCTTGGTCCAGTTTTTCCAGTAGCTTTTCGAACCCTTCCAGGTAGCTTTTCCTCTCCCGTGATAACAGCTCTTTTTCTTCTTTCTTTTTTTTTTTCCTTTCTTCCTCATCAGGGGGGGATACCAAGTCGTCATGGCCATTGTTGCGGCACTTGTTCTTTTCCGTTAATAGCGTGTCGTTCTTCCTCCCCTCTTCGCCTTTCCCGAACTGTCTGCCATCATCCGGTGGTACCTCCTCTGATTGACATTCAGGAAATTCATTTGGATCTCTCCAGTGGTGCACTCTTTGGCCACACAAGTTTAACCAAGTGTCGACCCGCTTGGCTTCCCTTTTGGCTTCCCTTCTGGTGCGCTTCTTGCCCGTCCTTCCCAAGGCTGGCTCCCGTAGCACCTCCTCAGTTACGTATTTTTTCCACAAGTCAAGTGCATTTTTGTTGCCCCCGAAATCTACAATTCTGTGTTTCAGAAGGGTGTCTTCCATTGCACTATTTTTTTCCTTCGCGCAACTGTCGCATTAGCGGTGGCATTTGCAATGGCATTTGAAGTTGTTTTTTTTTTTCTCCTCACAATTTGTAGTATTTTTTCACGTTTTGCCAACCTTTTTTTTTTTTTTTCTTTCCTTTTTTCCTGCTCCTTTTTGTTTATTCTGTTTAGCCTATGCCCCTGCTTCGCGTTTACTCTGAAGGTAAATTTAAAAAGGAGGTGAAGTTATCAGGAGTGGAATTTCAAAAGGCAGGACGCCGCAAACGTTGGGTAAATTTGCAGCAGTTGGTTTTCGTCCTCTTTGCGAAGCTTCTTCCTCCTCAGCCCTGGGGAACCCCCCAAATTGATCATCTGGGGGAAGCAACTCGGCTGTTTGGCTGTTTTGCAATTTGGAGGTTTTCCAAAATAAGGGATTTCCAATATCAGGGATTTCCAATATGAAGGTTTTCCAATTTGAAGGTTTTCCAATTTGAAGTGTTTCCAAATTGACGGCTTCTCAACTTGAGCGCTTCACAGAAAGCGCTATAACATTGGGGTGAACACAAAATGGCGCGGAACGTTGAGAAGGGGAGGTCGATGCTAAACCAGTGGCTAAAGGCCAAGGAGCTAAGTGAACAGAAAAGCTTTTTTAAAATTCCCAAGAGGGTTAACGAAGTGGAAGATTTGGAGACCGCTGTGTCCTGGTAAACAAAAGGGAGAGAAGCGCAAAGGGAAGAAAAGAAAGGAAGCGCATTGTTATGCTATGTTATGTTTTTTTTTTCCCCACAAATATGCCCCCCTCTCTGCATTTACTTCCCTGCCTGTCTTTGTCCTCCCTGCACGGCCTCGTTAAAAATGTGCGCTGCTGTGCATACATATATGTCCCTATCCCTGCGCGGAAATAGGAGTACACCTTGACGTAGGTACCCACGTGTTTTCCTTATTTTATTTATTTTCCTTTTTCTTTTTGTCTCCTCCCCAGCCGCAGACATATCATCAAAGAAATATGCAACAAGATAAAAGAAATCCAAAACTACAGTTTGAGCGACCAGCATATAAGGGAGCTGAATGACCAGATAAATAAATTAATTTCGATCAAAAATAAGTGGGAAATTCGGATAATAGAGGTAAGGGTAGTAGCGATCATGGAGTGAGAGACGCGGGAAGCCGAGAAAAATGTGGACAGAATGATTGTAGACTGCATATGGCAGCGCTTCTTATGATAGTGTAACACGTCACATATCGCTCCACTTCGCCCTCCTTCAAAACGCACAATTTGACACCCCACTTAATGTGGCACTACCGTTTTTTTCCACTTCTCTTCAGCTGGGTGGCCCGGACTACCAAACGGAATCGAACACACTGATCAACGCGCACTGTAAGTTTGCACATTTCGCTAGTGCGCCCTCTTCGTTTGCTCATTTGTGGTGTTCTCCCCTTATGCAGCATATATGTTTTTCCCTTCCTTTAATGCCTCCTTTTCACACCTCCCCCACGCAGGCAGCGAACTGAAGGGAAACAACAACTACAAGTACTTCGGGGCAGCGAAAAACTTGAAGGGCGTAAAGGAACTACTATTAAAAGAAAGCGACGATCGGAAGAAGTTCATTTTAAAAAAAAAAAAGGAAAACAGATTTTTCGATAAGTATGTAAATATTCACTACTTTGGTTATTGTGATGATCAAAATGAAATGCTACTCAGGGAAGAATTAAAAATGCAGGATCGACTCGAAAAAAACGATTTAAAAACATTAAAAAGGTTGAGATCACTAAAAAATTATGATTAAGGCAAAGCAGGAGTAGAGAAGGAATATCGGGTAGGCCACAAGGTATCGCTGGCTATTCATCCGGAGGGCCTACGGAAGGCGGGTGAACAAAGAAAAACAAAAACAAAAAGAACATTTGGCAATATATGTACACATGAAGGGGGAGTTAGAAATGCACACAAATTGCACATATATATGTGTACGTAGCAGAGGTGGTGGTGTATGCCACTCCACCGCTACACCATGCACATGCCAGAGGTGATTATTTTATTTTTTGTTTTTTTTTCCCCATACCACTTCGAAAAAGCGCGACGCTGTGAGGGCCGACCAGGATATACAGAAAAAGGAGATGGTGTACCCCTTCTTCGATCTGCAGAATGGCAAACATGGCATAATTTGCGGAAGTGGCAAAGTTTTCCCTTTTTTTTGTGCAGTTTGTGCGCACTGTTGAGGCACCATTGGGGTCTTTTTTTGTTTTTTTTTTTTCTTTTTTTTGGTGTATTTAACCCCTGGGCTTCTACCCGTGCTGCCCACTCACGAGAGACTTTTCCCTTTACCTCAAATTGATAATTATTGAAATGAAAGACAAAATGACCAGGGGAAGCAGTGCATAACCCAGCATGCTTATTGTACGGTACAGGTCCAGCGTCAGACTCTGAAGTGAAGGGATTGCAGAAAAAAAGAAAAAAAAAAATTAAACAGATATAATCATAAGGAATGAAAACGTAAAAGTGGCTTTTTTTTTTCTGGCACATGTAGCAGTGTGCACCACTTTTACGGAATGAAACATCTGGGAAGCACTTCACTTCATTCACTTTTTTTTTCCCACCTGGCTCATCATGTTAAGAAGAAGATATATGCTTAGGCTGCTGACAATTCCGATCAGGTATATGTAACTGAAGGAGGCTTTTCCGGCCTGCGCGGAGGGGAGGGTGTGCGATTGTTTAGTAATTTAACAGGTGAGTGATTATTTAGCGATCAGAACGGCGCGCTTCCTACCAGCAGCAGTATAAACCCCAGGGCGAGGACAATGATTAAAGGTCCAGATAAATCAGAATTTTCGAACAACGTGTCGTCGATTCTGTGGGGAGGGGACCACGACGGACAGGTGGAGGGGTGACATAAGGGCATAATGAGCTAATTGGAAAATGCTCAAATGTAGACTGCGCATAGCTGGAGCCATTTTTGGAAGACCCCTCGCAAATGTGCGATGTGGCTCTTTCTCCCCTCTTTATGTGCACACTTATTAGCCAGACGACACTGGTGGAACGTTATGCCCCTTCCCCAATAGACTTCTTCCCTTACTTGTAAAACATAAAAACAGATTTCATTCTTTTCGAAATTAAGTCAAAATTGATTCCTAATTCTTCCAGTAAGGGCAGTTCTTCCTCCTCCTCTTCATCCTCTTCTCGTTTATGTTCGTTTTCTTTTAATTTATTTTTATTTGTTGAGATAAAGCTTCCAAAAAAGGATTCCCCGCTTTTGCTCACATCGTGGTTAGCACTTGGCGGGTTGTTAAATGGGCTCGTCACCACACTGTTGTGATTGTGGTTGCCGACGCTGCTTCCACTATTCTGTGTGAAGGTGAAACCTTTTGGTGCTGCACTGCTTTGGTAGAAGTTATTTTCAAAGGGGGCACTCGGGATCACATTGTTACTTGCCTTGTTGTATCCACCTTCATATATTTTTTTATTTACATATGGGTTTGTAACGTTGCCTAGGCTATTTAGGTTGCTTTCGTTGGCCCCGAAATTGGGGTCGTCATTATCATTTCGGTTATTTCCCCGGTTTATGATTTTCTGGTTGTAATAGTTCATTTTGCATAGGGCGGTGAAAAGTGGTGGAAATTACTTTTTAATGAGGATGCTTATTTGACGATGTTGAGTAATCCCTTTTTACGTGTCGTCTTTGGCGGGCACTACACCCTGTGTGTTTTCGTTGTCTCGCCACTTGTCCTTTCGCTGGTCCAGCACATATCAATGGTGGGAAAGGTGCGACTCTGCATAAGTTGGCAGCCGCCCTCTCCTTCTTACGCCACCCAGCTACACAACGGGCGATGTATAAGTTGGAACAAACAAGGGCTTCAAACTAACTCTTACGTGTTGTATGCAAAACAGCAACGTCCAGTTCGTTGACGAGGGACTACACAACTTTGGTTCTCCCGGAGCGAAATTTAGGGAAAGCAGGCAGGAAAAGGCACAAAAAAGGAAGAAAATACCTTTCCTTAGGTGAGAAAAAAAAAATAAAATAAAAGAGGCACAACATAGATTATCATACGTGTGCACATACAAATGCGCGCGCTTATTTACAAACTAAGCCGCCCTCCCCCTCACAGAGTGGGTATAAGTATACATACGCATTATTCTTTTCTTTTTTTCCCCGTTTCGAGTGAAATCCCATATTGTAGCAATGAATACTCAAACGGCGGGATATCATCACTACAGTTTGATTGTGCCCCTCCTCCATTCTTTTTCATTTCGCTTCTTCAGTTAAAATGGAATAATTTTACCAAGTTTCAGGACGAAGATAATTCAAATGAATGAAGAACAAGCGGGAACGTGACGTGGAAATATATATGCATGTATTGTTATGTATAAAATTATTGCATACCACTTTGCTACGCCTACCGCTTTGGTTTAGTGTTTCTCTTTTCTTTTTCTTTTTTTTCTTTTTTTTTTCCTGCCGCTCTCGAGAGAATGAAAAAACTGCCATTTAAATTGCCATTTACCGCGCATACATTTGCGGAATCTTTTTTTTTCTTATTTTTACCCTTTTTGTTAATTTTCTGTTATTTTTTTATTTCCCTATCTTTTGCTTAAAATGGGTTTTGAAAAAAATGCCCTCTTTTTCATTGGTTCTTTTTGTGCCTTAACGGTTATACGCAGCGCGTTTTTTTTTTTTTTTTGTTTATCGCCGGGAAAAAATACTTCTTCCGTGTCATTCACGTCGTTTTGGTGGTCTACCCTTCGTTGTATGTAGTTTGGTCTTCGCGCGATCCTCCTTTCGCCACCCGACAACAGGGGAATGTTGGCATATGTGCGGTTATATTGGCAGGCCAGCTTCTCCGATTAGCCACCAGGGTCTAGCTTCCGCGGTCCACTTTTCCCTGTGCATCCGCGCGAAAACCACGAATGGTAGGAACGGAGGAGATAGCCCCTCCCCCCCACGGGAACGAATGCAGTAAAGTCCACGCAGGTGTATAGCTCCCCACCTGTGCTAGCACAAGCCGGTCATGCGTACTTCACGTGCACATCCTCCGCGGTAACATCATAGGGACGCATGTGATGCCGTCCTACATCACCCCCAAGGTGTCGACCGATGCAACCCATCCAACCCACCCATGTCCAAATGTGTGGATAAAGAGCCGCAGCTTTTTTCCCTTCCATACGTGTAATATGTGGCCACGTCCCTCCCCCGAGAAACCAAGATGAAGATCACAAAGGAGAAAAGAAACATCAGGTTCGAATACGAACTGGAAAAAATGAAAAAAAAAAAAAAAGACAATGTATTGATACTAAACATTATTAATAGCAAAATAAATTATATCTGCTATATTTTAAAGAGTGACTACAGGGACATAATAAATGACGTGAGCTACGAAAATAAGTGCTCTCTTGAGATCTGCTTCTATTATTGCAAGGCGTACATCACCTTCCTACTGCTCTATTATCCATACATACACAATTATCTGAAATGTCTCCGAAGTAACAAGCTCAGAATATACCGCAATTTTTACAAATACATTTTAAATTTGCCGAACAATTTTTGTTCCCTCCTGTTTAAGCTGAAAATTGTTGACGAGGTGAAGAGAAGGGACGCACAAAACTCCAGCAATGATTATTACCATGTCGGGAATATGTGCGACGGTGGGGATGTTCCCCCTGCAATGGGATCCTTGCATGACTTCCATGCATCCCATGCCTCCCCTGCGCTGCTTCAGCTGAGCGGGGCCAACTTCTTCGATGCATTCTCGAAAGACAGCTATATAAAAATTTTATTCTCTCGTATTTACGTGAAGAAATACCACAAGCGGATTTTTAAGATCCTAAAAATTGTCCTTTTTTATCACTCCTTGCCAGTGTTTTCCTTTTCACCCAAGTTTTTCCGAACGTACCATAAGGGGAGGCGGAGGGGGGGAAAGAAGCAGGTTAGCCAAAATAATGTGCCACAGGGGGGAGAGTTCTTCACGAAGGATGATACCAATGAGAGGGGAAAAGATATATTCAAGGTTTCCCCCCCTGAGGAGGAGGAGAAGAAGAAAGAGAAGAAAAGGAAGAGGAAGGAAAAGAATGAGAAGAGGAAGGAGAAGAATGAGAATCTGAATCAGAAGAAGGACCTCCATAACAGAGTGCCATTCAGAAGGAGGTACTTTAAGACGCCCCTTTTTAAACACGTGGAGGTACCCACCATCTACTTGGACGACTACGACAGGAGTAGCAGCAGATTGTTGGTTAAAAAAAGTCTGGTAAAAATCAGGAAGAGGAGAAAAAAAGGAGGAGACAAAGTAGAAGATACATTTCTTTCAGACAACAGTGCAAGTGCAACGAGTGCAAGTGTAAGCAGTGAAAGGAGTCCAAGCTGTTTAAGCGACTCGGAAGAGGAAAGAGAAGTGGAGGCCTTCTTGAGACAAGAAGTGAATGTCCCCAATGAGGAAAGCGGTGGGATACCTACAACGCATAGTAACGTTGGTGCGTCTGCGTTGGAGGAGGGGGACTACCCCAAGAGGATCTGTACACATGAGGAGAGCATCCATCTTATGGAATCTACTCAAAATGAGCACCCATCAGGTGCAACGCTGGAAGAAAGGAACAACAGCTTCCAGGCGAGTACCCCGAGAAAGGGTTATTCGCCCCAGGGACTATGCATGGAAGAGAACTTCCTCGAATTTGTGCGACACGAAAAGGGAAAAAATAAATCGCAGAAGCAGATCGAATATACGTATGGAAATTACGTACTGAAGGATATACGGAAGTACCTAAGACAGGAGAGGAAAACAGGACCAAAGAGGGAGAAGAAGAAAATCTATTTGCATGAAATGTGGAAGCATATAATCGACTTTGACCAAACGGATGATAATAAAAACACGCTCATACATAAAGCTTGCTTAGTTTCCAATGCGAACATAATTTTTTTACTTCTACGTTTGAACGTGAATCTGATGGTTTATAATGACAAGTGTGAGTTGCCTATTCACTGCACTCTGTACAATTGCGACACGTACCTTTTTCTCCTGTTGCTGCATAATACGGTCGAGTATCTTTTTTTCTTTTACCTAAGCGCCTACGGTGGAGGCGGTCGAAGGGGGGAAGGGTCCCCAAAAGTGAGGGCCACCAAGAAGACAAATCCCACGGAGTGCCCCTCAAACACTGGCGACGCCAAACCGGACGATCCAAGGTTGAAGCGCGAGTTGGAGGAAAAGCAGGCACAAGGGAAGAAGACTCTACTGAACGAGGCGCACAGGGAAGAGGAGCACGCTCAAGGGACGAACGGCGAAGGGATGCTCACCGAAGAGACAGGAGAGGAATGCCCCACCAGGAAGGCAAATAAACGTCACTCCAAATACATAAAGGACGACTTCTTTTATCACAAAAAAATTAACAGCGTTTTTCTCACGGCTGTTGTAAAGCTGTACTTAAGCATATTGGTGAAAATTATCGAGCTTGGAAATTTTGAATTTTTAAAAATCCTATACAATTACAATAAAGAGATTTTTTGTTACATTTTACATAGGAGGGACATGTGCTACTTCCTGTGCTCGTTCGCTTCCATGTACAACTGTATGAATGTGTTTTTGAGGCACTGCAATGGGATGTTGCGGTGTCAGCGGTGTGTGGGGGGGAGTAGAAAAAGGAAGAACGATGAGGGGACGCGGGGGGCAGAGCATGCCTTCGTGGTGCGCAAAAACAGGCTTAGGGAGGGCGCTACGCAAGTGGAAGAGGAGAAGAACAATACACACAATGTGGAAGACGAAGAGGAGAAGCACAGGACACACAATATGGAAGAAGAAGAGACGAAGTACACCACACACAACGTGGAAGAGGCGCCCCATGTGGACAGTGCGCGGATAGCCCCCCAAGGCAAAAGACCAGCCAGGTGTTACCCTGTGAAGAAAAGAATCGACCGACAAAACGGAGTGGAAATATTTTACTCAAACGAGTGCTCCAAGCACATCTTCGTGCCAGAGCCCAGCGACCATCCCTACGTGAGGAATAAAATTAAAACGAACATCCCGGAAAACTCCAGCAGGTTAGACGTCCTAATATCGAATAAACATGGCATATTGAGGCTAAACACGTTCGTCAACTTTAAGTTGAAAAAGGTGGAAAGGAAAGCAACGGCAAATGACATTTTAAGGGTCCACGACATTTCGTACGTCAAAATGTTACTCAGAAGGATAAAGAGGTTCACTTCGAATAAATACGATGATGTCAATCCGTACGATGATTTTTTGGAAAACACGAAGAAGAATAGGAAAAATTACCTCTCCTTATCATCGGATGATTTGAATGTATCTTCTTCCTTTGCTGTGTCGGACCATATGGATGTTTTGAATAGTAGCGAAATTATCAGTGCCGTTTGCGAAGAAGGGGCAAGCGAAGGTATGGAAGGCTCCAATGAGGTTGGCAGTGAGTGCTTCAATTCGGGTGTTCCCTGTGGGAATAAAGAAGCGAGGGGAGAGGTACTCTCCATAGTGAGGGACAACACCAAAGGGGGCGAGAGAGAATTAGAAATGCCAAGTCAAAGTCTCAGCACCGATACGAAGGAAAACGCAGGAGGAGGTATCCAAAGCAGAAAGTGGAATAGCGCAAATAATGGAAAGGAAAAAGTAGACAAATTAATTTTGTTAGACAATGATACCTTTGTCAATAAACATTCGTTTAACTGCGCATTGAATGCCAGTGGAGTGGTTTTAGAAGCGCTGGATTTTATACATAGGAAGAAGAAAAGAAAGAAAAAAATTTTCTGTGTTGTTAGACCCCCTGGTCATCATCTGGGAACTTACGGTGCTGCGCAATTTAACCAAAGCGATGAAGATAGAGCAGCAGGGAGTCAAGGATTCTGTCTTCTGAATAATGTAGCCATCGGAATGTCCTACGCAAAGTATAAATACGAAAGGTTCGAGCGGATCGCCGTGATCGATTTTGACATCCACCACGGAAATGGAACGGAACAAATTATCCGAAATTTGGGATTAAAAAAAATCAGAATTAATGACTACGTTGATATATATAGTTGGAAGGGATGGAAGGATAAGAATGACAGGAATAGCGTATTCTTCAGTTCGATTCACGCATTTGATGGCTACTTCTACCCGGGAACAGGAAACGACACGGTGGAGTTGGAACCATACATCATTAATGTAACTTTGAAGAAAAATATGAATGAACAAGATTTTCTCCAATTATTTCACGACAACATATTAATTCATCTGTTTCATTTCCGACCAAATTTGCTCTTCCTATCTGCTGGGTTTGATGGACATAGACTCGATTTTGTTAATAACGGCTTTGTGAAGAAAAACACGTCTACCTACTTTCATATGACGAACTTAATTTTGTCTCTCCAGAACAAACTGCGCTTTCCCATCATTAGTGTCCTCGAGGGAGGCTACAACACGTCCAATGACATGGCATCCGTTTTCAGCTTGTCCGTTTTGGAGCACCTTCTTTCTTTCTACTACAGCGATGCGGTGTTTGTGGCGGGGCGGAGGCGAGGTCACTTCGCTAGGCGCGCCACGATGGTGAATAAGGCGAACAGGAAGGTTACCACCGCCAACAGGAAGGTTGTCACCGCCGACAAGAAGTCTCCAACCGCCACCAGCACCACCATCCACTGCGCCAAAGGAGGCACTCTGAAATTCCCACACATCTCTGTGGGGAAGATTAAAATGGATGCCATGTTTAAAAAATATTTCGCTATTTTTAAAGAAAAGACGAAAGAAACTGAAAATTTGAAGTTAACTAAATGTGTGAGAGATTATGAAGCTTATTTGAAGCATTTTGTTGAGAAGCAAAACGAAGTGAAAATGAAGGTGAACACGTTTCTCTCTAAACATATGAGACACTTTGATAGTTTGCTTTACCAACGGAGGGCTCTACATTTTTGCAACCTAGGGCAGATTTCCCTCCCATTTGAGGCCTATTTCTACGAAGTTATGCGTCATTTTAGGATTTTTCTCGAAGGAAGTGAAGTCGCCAAAATGGACGCGAGGGAGCTGTCTACCAACTCGAGGGAGTTCTTCTCCGTGCTGAACAGCCCGTCCGACTTGCGCGATTTGGACCCGGTCTATTTTCAGCGGTAAGGGGGAGAACAGACGCGAGCGCAGCTAAGAAGTTAAGCAGCTGAGCAGTTATCGTGTTGTCCTGTTTTCCCGTCGCCTAACCTTATAGCCTTTTGCTTTCACCCCCTTTTTTTTTTACCATCTGTAGGCACCCCGAGACACGGTTTGAAGTGACTAACTTGTGGGAACCCAGCTGCAGTTGATCAGAATGAGTTACTTTTTTTTTTTTTTTTGTGCTTCACACATTAGGTAGACACTGTTGTCGATTTTGCCAGTCTTGCCAACCTTTCCAATTTTGCAACAACTCTCTGTGCAGCTTGTCATCCATTCTCCTGCGCGCTGTCCTCATGTGTAGTGTGCATTACTGGGAGGGATCCACTAACAGACATATCTTTGCCAAACCGTTTCGCAATTTTATCCGAGTTGTGTGTGAGTTTATGTGAATATAACATAATAACCCCTTTGTTTGTCTCATTGCAGTGCCGTTTTGTTTTTTCTTTTTTTTTCCCTTTTTTTTTTTTACGTCACCGTATTGACTTGTCTCCACTTTGTCAAAATATAGGCATCCTTTAAAAACGCGCGAGGGAATAATTTTCGTCTGAATCTGGTCCGTGCGCAACTCTCGTCCTGTGTTTTGGCGAGTTGGTACTTGGCGGTGTTTCCCCTACGGTGGTGTCTGCGTTTGTTGCGATTTCCTCGTGTTCGTATGCCCCCGTGCTTAGGTACTTCGTCATCTCGTCGTTTCACCGCCTGGCTGCGCATTCTGCCGCAACTGCAATGGATTTCAGATAATTCACACTTCCACGTAGGTTTAATTCCGCCCCGTTGTGGCAAAACTTAACTGTTACACTGCATTGCGTCCATCACGAAGAACATCGCGTTGAATTTTTTTTTTATGTTTCTTTTTATGTTTTTTTTTTTTTTTTTTTTTTTTTTTCCCTTTTTTTCCTTCATTTTTTGTAAATGAGAAAAATGCCACGAGAAAATGAGATTTAAAGCGCGCTATGTTAACCTAGGTGTACTACTCCTGGTGTTTTTATTTTGCATGAACAAATGTAAGGGGTACATTCTGAACATAAATGTTGTGGATAAGGATGACTTGTTTATTTTTTTGTACAAAAATGAGCATTTGTTAGCAGCCAGTTACTACAATTTTAAGCCGTCGTATTTTTTCTCCGTCGAGGAAGGTACAGCAGCGGAGTAGCAGGCCTTGAGCAGACGGCGGGAGTGTCGCAGCGGGTGTCCTCCTAGATGTGTTGACAGATCTGCCCCCGCTCTACAAACCGCCACAGATGCCACGCACGGCCTATACTCCACATACTTCGCACACGCCACGATCACACGTACACATACGCCTAAACATACGCCTGCACATACACCTACAGATACATCTTCACTTACACTCACCCTTCCCCCCCACGCAGGCGAAATCAACATTGATATGACCATCGACTTCCGGGAGAACAAACTAGTGAAAAAAAAAAAAAAAAACCAAGAAATATTGGCAAAGGCAAACAAAAACTCCATTAACATTCTGAACAACTTCAATGTGGACAGAGAGTATTTTCACAAAAAGGGAGCCACAACAAGCGTGGCAGAGACGAAGGAGGCTTCTAAAACCATCGAGGAAAGATCCAGCTCGGAGCCGTACACAAATGGACCTATCCACAATGAAGGAAGCACAGGGAGGAGGAACAACAAATCGAAAAATCTTTTCCTTGTTCTGATAACGGCGGACCAATGGCTCAACTACATTAGGCTGAAGAATAAACTGGAGCCGTCTTTAAAAAACGAAGAAAATTACATTTTTACGTCCCATTTTAATTGCATTAAAAGATACCCACTAGAGGAAGGCAACATAAAAAAAACCATACAAATTAGCCAAAAGAACAGATATATGTTGTTCCTGATAAATAACAACAAATTAAAAATTGACTTAAAAGGAAACATCGTTTTTTATGATTACAGGACGAAACATCTGTCTCATGACTTTCTCTTCATTCCCAATGTACTCTACTTTACCACCTACATTTTGCTAGTCCTGGTTGTCATCCTAACATTATATTTTCTTAAGTATCGAGAAAGAACGGACATTTTTATGATCCTCAATATGCTTTTTTTCCTTCTCTCCACTTATTTTAATTACAAAAATGTCAACTTCATTCGGGAACGGGGCTACATGTACCTTTATTTCTGGTAGGGACGGGACGGTGGTTGGTCAAAGTGCGGCCTCACTGTGTTGCCTCATCCCGCTGCCTCATCTTGGCCCCCACACAGACACATGCCTACGTGGGTATCTTCATATGTTCACACATTTTCGTATTTTTCCCTGCAGGGTGTCGGCAAACATTTTGAAGAAAATCCAAGAAATAATTTCATTCATCATATATCTGCAGGTCTCCCTGGGTAAAGATGCGCGGTTGGCGGCATGTATCAGAAGTAGCTTCTTCTTTTTCCTCGTTTCAGATTTTTTTTTTTTTTTTTTTTCTTTTTGCCCCTTTCCCAGGTGACATGTACATTCGAAGTCACCTAAGCCGAATAGAGATTCAGTTCATGATTTGCTTTTCCGTCATTTCGTTTTATACGGGCATATTTGAAATATTTCTGGGGAACTTCCAGGTAGAGCGGCGCGCGCAGTAGCAATGCATTTGTGCGTACGAGCAGACGAGGAGTGCATTTCACTCACGTGTCCCGTTTTTTCCCCCTCCCCGTTCTTCCTGCCCCACCACAGGCCCCGCGGTACATATTACAAGCCTTCGCCTATTTGTTCATCTTCATTGCGATTAACTTCACGTCGACGTTCCTCTCGGTAAGTGCCCAGAGGAAGCGCGTCGCACTTGTTTCGAGCGCATGGGAGTTATTCTCCGTTCAAGCTTCCTAAACATGGGGGTGTCCTTTATGGTAGAGATGGCCCAACGGAATTTCTCGCACCCTCAACTAACACACACATCTATATGTGTTCACACCTTCACACCGCCTTGCACACACCCCGTACAGGCTCGTCTATCGGAAGAAAACTTATCCTTTCACGTCGCAGAGCTCTATAAGAAATATGACATTTATAAGTAAGTGCAGATGGGGAGTCCGGCACAGAGCAGCACAGCGCAGTACTACACGGAACTAGTCTGCACTGCACGTTACCCCTTCTATGCTGCTGAAAACGTGCCCCCATCTGTACCTTTCCCTCGATCACGAGATGTTCTGCGCGCATGTTTTTATCAGTGCGATAGAGATTGTCCCAATGTGCAAGTGAGAAAAAGCACATTTTTTTCTTTCCCCCCCTTTGTCATCCTTTTTGTCTCCCACCCCTTCTCCGCTCCTTGGCAGAAAATATCGAGTCATATTCTTCGCCGTAATTCTGAAGCCCATTCTGTTAATTGTCTACAAAGTCCTGTGCCTGTCCCCATCGAATATCGATTTGTACAGCTCGCACGAATTTCTTTATGTGTTCTTTGACATCACCTTCGACATTGTTTTATATGTCATAGTAAGTTAAGAAGAACGTGAAGTAGTCAAGATAGACGGCGTGGATGGCATGTGTCTGTCGGTTCACCCTTTTCTTCACACGTTTTTGCTTCTCCTCTTGCTCATTTCCTTTGCGCCCTGTACACGAGCATATACGGTGACACCTCTCCCATTTCTTTTTTCCCCACCTCGCGCAGCTCTTTGTTTTATTTCGAGCCGTTAAGCCTATTAAGCTTTTAAAGGTACAGTCTCGCCCAAGTGGCCCATCTTTATACGTTACGCATTATGCAAGCGTTATGCGCCTACATGTATGGCGACGCCGGGAACAGCGCGACCCTCGCGGCTTGACGGGAGACTCGTTGCGTGGTTTTGTGCCAGAAGCGGCACGTACGTGTGCCACTCCTACGGCGGCTGCCTCTGCTTTGCTTTGTTTATTTTCTATCTTTTATTTTTATTTTATCCTATTTTATTCTTTTTTCTTTTTTTTCTCCCCTTAGCACATTTTAAGCAATGAAAATTTCCACATAGATTAGTTTGACCGCTGATTCCCAGGAAGGAAACCACCCCTATTCCTTTTCCCTTTTGCTCTATCCTTTTTTCTCCCTTTTTCTCTTCCCTTCTTCCTTTTTTTTTTATTCCGTCCCTACTTTTTTTTTCTTTTTAAATTTCACGTTGGTGTATTCCCTGCGCGGTGTACGTCACTCGCTCTCGACATTAGCTGGCGTACCTTTGCACGAATAGGCATGCCTCATGGGTGTGTTTACTTTCATAGTTATTCACCTGTATGGGCATTCGGGCCTCTTTGAACTTTCCCTTGGTATTCTCGTTTGTTCCTCCATTTCATTTTTTTTTATTAACCCTTGGTGCGGTTGCCTCACCGTCTGGTTACCATCGGAAGCGATTATTCAACCTTTTTGGTTAGCGCCCTGCATGGACACCTCTCCGTATGGCTGTCGCCTCTTTTGTTCACCTCCCCATTTGGACAAGTGCGGGACGACTAAATGGAGACCCCCTGGCAGACGCATCTGTACCATTTGAGAAAATCTAGCGAGGCGGATACCTCCCTGACACCGTTAATGTACCAAAAAGGGAAATAAAAAAGGAAAAAAGAGGAGGAGAAACGTGTCCTATCTTTGTGACAGCTAGCACAGCGAGTGTTGCCGAAGAGGCACGTATTTTCTCACCTTATTAGATGTTGTCTTGCTTAACCTCCTCTGATGTCTTCTTGCCCCACCTCATATCTGTTTTCTTGTCTGCTCCCCCTCTCCGCACAGGTACAAACTCCACTTTCACTTCCTAAAACTGAGGCGTCCCTTGAAATACCTAGGAAAATGCGTAACCTACTATGCGAGCACTCTGGGAAAGAGAAAAAGAATTAAGATTTATGCTGACACGGACCACCTGCGAATCATCAAGGTGGCTCTAATTTCATCCTGCGGCAAAGCCATCCAAATTGAGAGAATTGAAATAAAAAAAAAGAGAAACAATTTTTACATTCATTTGAAAGAGCCCACAAAGATAGGGGTATACAAATTGGTCACTTTTTTCTATTACCAAAATGGAGAGAAGAAAACGGAAGGGATTTACCCTGCCAGTAATAGAAAATTAGGGAGGAAGAGAAAAAAATGTGTGGAAACCCCTCCTCGGGGGAAAGACCCTACCGAGGAGGAACACAAAGAGAGGGGATTTCATTTTGTTCTTCCAAATGGAGGGGAAATTTTCCATTTTCATTTTAAAAGGGTAAAGTTTGAAAGCAAAAGGAGATACACATATATAAATACGTTTTGTGAATACTTTTACCTCCCTCTGGTTTTTCCATGTCTGCTTTACAACAACCATAGGGCAAAATTTAGGCTCAAGGTTTCGTTTGAAATTGAGCTAAATGGAGCAAGCAGCGTCGAGTCGACATGGGGTGAACCCCCAATAGGACCAGGCGTCAACTCTTCTTTCACAGATGGTCACAATGATAAGAAGGCACATGGTGATAGAGATACCCCTATCCGTGTTGTAAGCCCAGTAGACTTGGTCGTCACGAATAGTAGGCTCAAGAGGGTGTATTACAGTCAGGGAGGTGGCGGACTGTACTCTTCACTTTGGAAGCGTCTCCAGGGGGGGTCCATCGGAAGGAGGCACTGCAGAAAGGCTTCTCGGTGGAGTAGGGTACCTTGGTATACTAGGCTACCTCTCTCGAGAAAAGCAGACCTATTCCGTTCGCCTCTTAACAGGAGGAATGCAGCGACAAAAAAGGATGAAATGCACTCCCCAATTGGGGGTCCTAAAAAACTATGGAAGTTGTACCAGCCAAGTGAAGGGAGAAGAAAACTCACCGAAGCATCATCTGGAGGGAAGAAATTCATAACGTACCACTTTTGCGAGACGAGCAAAATTACCAGCTACACATTTTGCCTGTTCGCCGGCTTATACAACAAAGTAGAACTGAAGGTAAAAAGAATTTCCGTTTTTATATACATAGAAAAGGGAGAACCTTCAGAAAGCAGCAATGAAAGAAGCAGACACGACTTTTTCCTCCACGTGGTGAAAGAAACACTAATGATGTATTTGAAAATACATGTCTTCCACGCCATGTTGGAAGAGAGTGGCTTCATCCAGTTCATGATTCTAAACACGTATAAGTATGCAGGGGAGGAAAATCACAACTGTGTCACATTGTTGATGTCGCTAATTGCGGGAAGTACAGTGTTTAGCGAAAATAGAAACAATCTGGAAGTGGACTTCCACAAAAAGGTTTCACTAGTCAAACTAATTGTGCACGAAATTTTTCACTCCTTCTGGGGAAACTGCCTGTATTTTAAGAAGGCCAAATATCTGTGGTTGAAAGAGGGGCTTACCAGATACTACGAATTGAGGCTGTCTAAATCGGTTTTATCTAAAATGAGTAGATTTGCTTCTTACAGGTGGAAATTAACCCTTTGGTTCACGCTGGAGTATCATTTTTATATCCTCCTTGTTGACACTCTGAACGTGTATAACCACGCTTTGGACTTTTCGAGGGGGGGAGAAACAAAATGCAGAGAAGATATGTACTCGAAAGATATCCACCATTTTTACAATACACTAACTTACAACAAAGGAATGAACATCTTCAAAATGATCAGCGTGATGACGAGACCCTATTTCTCCCTCATCATGAATTTGCTCTTCTACACATTTTACAATTGTTCCATAAATTTAAGAAAATTTTTTAAATTCTTTCACTTTTTTTTTCGCCTTTTTCATGTGAAGCCATTTTTCCTCAACTACAATCCGTATGAAAAGTGTGCACGTATTATGAAGGCGCTCATTAGAAGGAAAAGGAAATTCTCATTTGGTCAACTTCAGAGAGCTGTTGGCGGGGCCAGGAGGTCTACGCTCCGGGGGGGACGCCTACGTCACAAGGAAGCACCGTGTGCTAGCCAAGAGACAGTATGGGGGGCTTCCTTTACCCACCTTTTGAGCTCCTCCTTTTTGAAGCGCCCCTTTAAGAAGCGCTTCCAGGCTTACTGCATAGAGGAGGCCAAAAATCCTGGAAGAAAGCCAATCGGAAGTGCGAAGCGGAAGAGAACTCCTGGTGTAAGGCCACGAAGAGGAAGAAAAAACAGAGCAAGCAAAATAGCATCATGGGGGAGGGTCCAGCCAGCCCTCAGAAGAATACCTCAAAAGGGGGCTCCTTTCAAGAAGGCGGTCGCTTCCAAAAAGGTGGCTGCTTCCCCAAAACAAAGTTACGTCTTGGAGAAGATAGTGCAAACGTACGTAAGCGTAGTTGGGCCGCCTAAAATATTTTTGAAGTTTTTTAAAAATAAAAATAAATTGCTAATAACGCAGAAGCATTTCTACTATGACAATTACGAGCAGACGTTTAAAGAGACGAATGTGCTTTTCCACGTGCCACTTATCTTTACAGTGGGGCGTAAAGTGTACAACGTACTTCTAACCAGGAGGTATGCCCTGATAGATGTTCTAAGGGGGAATGAAAAAGGCCTTCGTGAAAAAAAAACAAATCAATTAAATGAAGATCAAAACACATTTACCATGAATGCGCAGAATGTCTCGTACTTTTCTTTCCACTTTGTTGATATATTTTCATTTCAATTTATTTTAAATTCGATAAAGCATAACCTATGTCGTAAGGCGGACATAATTCACGTAATCACGAACGTTTTTCTAAGTCTTCTGGTACGCCTAAAGAGTTTGAAGCAGATAAAATACTTAAACTCTTTGGTTTCTAGACAGGTCTTCTTGGTAAGTCAGTTTCTCGGTCGCCCTTCTAGCGCTGCTTTGTTCTGGCGTATGTATATTCTTTTATTATAAGCACCTCGATATGCCTACTTACACACAAAACCCGTTCGCTTACTTTCCCCCCCCCCCTCCCTACCCCAAAGTTGTACAAACTTCTCAAAGAAATGAGACACACAAAGGGAGAAGTGCACACCGTTGGGATGATCCTGTGCGAGGAATTCTTCAAGTGTTATGACCATTTCAGCTCATACTTCTCCAAAATTGAAGATCACAAATTGAAGATAGAAATAAACAGGGAGCTACGATCCTGTGAGAAGTTCGATTATCTGCGTGACGAAATTGAATTCGTATTTAAAGACTTCAGGAATTCCCTGTCCAAGATTTTTTTTTTCTACAAGGAAACTATTACTCAGCTGTTGTGATAGGTGTGCCCCTCGGGTAGAGATGTCTACACGGAGAAGGGGTTAAGCGGGTTGAGTTTCATGCGGACATTTCCCCCCTGATGTGCAACACGGGGGAGAAAAGAGAAAATATTATTGCTCCATTTTGGGGGGCAACCCACTCATAGTTTTACGCGAAACGGAAAAAAGATGAAAAAAAAAATTCCCTTTTTCTTTTTTCGCAAAGGTAACTGATTTACACGATGCAGCCGCCCCCCACCTAAAGCGCAAATGTGAAGCTGCTTGTTTCGTCATTGTTTGACACGGATCTGTCCGAGGCCGGCCTCGTCTGCAGGGTCTTCATGATGCTGTAACTTATGTGCCTGACTTGTTTTATGTTGATGAACAGATTGCCAAGCCCTCCGATTTTTTTCCCGTTCGTGAAGTAAATACCGTAGTAGCCGTATCCTGTATAGGTGCAGTTGTTGTGCAGCTGTTTTGCGTAATTGTTTCGTCACTTTTTCGTCCTTTTTTCGTCATGTTTGCATCGTTTGTGCCTTTTTGTGTGCCTTGGGTGGAGAGAGCTCCCATTTGTTTCGCTCGGACGGCACCTTTCGCTCACAAGTTGGTAGAACTGTCCCCCCCCCCTTTTACCCTGCCGAAGCTGAAGCTCTCGTCTTACCCGTGCCCGTCAACTTCTGAATCAAATTCCTGCTGCTCGTTATAACGATGTAGTGCTTGCAGTCGTTGTAGGTCATGAGGCAGTAGCTTATGAAGTTGTATATGTAGCTGTTGACCCAGTTCCTTTCTTCCTCCGAATTGGTACCTGCGCTGGACGTTATGCCTTCACGGAGGAGCCACGGCGCACGCAGTCAAAGCGCGGATGCATATGTAGGAAGTTGTAGAGATGGGCAGTTTGGCAGATAGGCAGTTGCGCAAATAGGCGGTTGCCCATGTGTACGATTGTGGGCCCACTTGGGTGGACAAACGACATGCACTTTACCTATTTCGCTCCGAATGTTGCTGTCATTCTTCTTCACGTAAGCCTTGACATACTTGGAAATGTCTGAAATAAAAAACTTGTGCATAATTTTCTCAAACTTTAGCTTGTCCCTCTCATTTTTCTCCTTGGACAGGTGAGACAATCCCTCTGCGTAATCGTAGTCCACTTTTTCCGATCTTATAGCCGCGCTGCGGACATTGTGACATTCAAAGTGTTGGGAGGAATTGTATGTTGAGTCTGTTTCACACTTTTCACTTTCTGTGATAAACGATTTTTCGATGCTTAGGAGTTCCCACACACACTGAGACATGTTGCACACGTGAGAGGGGAAGAGGATCCTATGCAAATGGAGATGCGACTAAGTTGGCAATGCTACAGAATGGTCAACAAAATGGCCATATCAGACCAGGTCACGAAAAAGTCAATATATTATGAACAGGTCAGGTGACTAGCTATTTTTCATTGTTGAAAGAAAAAAAAAAAAAAAATTGGGACAGTTCTCTTTTTTTTTTCGCAAACAGATACTTTAAATGAATAATTCATCAAAAGAGGTAAAAGACAAAAAGTCATAAATGTTTTGATAACTAAAATGAAGCAGTTACTTAATGAGGAAGCAAACCTATTGTTAATTAAATGAACATTTGCAAGTGTCCAATTTGCACACAAATTGGAATGGGTAAGGTTTTGAAAAGGGGCGTGCAAATATGTAGAGGAGAGGCATCGCAAATGTGGTTAAAGGGTCACACTTAAAAAAAATAACACAAATGGGATGTGATAAGATGGGATACGATGTGATAAGATGGGATACGATGTGATAAGATGGGACACCATGTGATAAGATAAGACATGATGTGATAATATGCGATAATATAACATATGATACGCTTAAATAATCTCATGCACATTCGTATACACACAAAACGGACGTCCCAACAGGGCCTTAAACTGTCAGGTCATTCACAACTCCTCATATGTTTCGAAAAGTTGCTCATCGTCCAAATCGATGTCACGGAATTGCTGTATGTCTATATCTGTATTGGTCTGAAAAAAAAAAAAAAAAAAACACTCAACTGAATTGAATTAGGAGTGGAGAAGGCTCACCGGCTAACTACTCAACTTCGGTGGTGTCCTTATTCAAAATTCCCCATAAATTTGGAAGACACCATCCCTACTATTTATGGAAACTTATGCACTGTTTTTATCCCTTTTACCTTTTCGCAAATCCACGAAATGATACTTTCCACGGTCCTCGGGCCGCGGTACCTGATGGGCGCCTTCTTGTTCTCTTTCGTGTAAAGATAAATGGAGGGGTATCCCTCTGCGGCAGGGAATGAACGGGGGATGGTCGAATGTGCACGTGGGTCATTTGGCCAGGGGAAGCAACAAGGCGCATACATATGTACACGTAGAAATATGGATAAACGAAATGTCGTTGCGCAGTCTGTGTGGGGGTGGAAACGGCCTGAGCTCCTCGTGCGGCCCTCGTCTACTGCCCGTATTGACGACACATGCCTGCAGGCCACGCCTCCCCCCCCTGTGTCACTCACCGATGGGGATGTTGTATATCTCGTTGTTCACCGCGTCGATTTTGCTAATGACAACGTCGTTGTTGTAATCCTTGAATTTTTTTCCGTATAGCTTGAGTCTCTTTCCGATTTCTTTATACACAGGCTCGAATTTGTAGCAGTGGCCGCACCAGGGGGCGTAGTAAAGCACCACGACGTGCTTCGTTCTGTCAAACACGTATTCATCGTAGTTTTCGGCCACTATTATTTTTACGTATCCGTGGTTGAATTCGTCCGGCAGCGCTCTCTCGCTCTTTCGGTAAAAGTACTTCTTCTCGTTGAGGTAGTCCTGGATGAATTGGTCGATGCTCTGCGGGGAGGAAGACGGGAGAAGTGTGTCAGAAGATGTGCACACGGGGGAAGTGTGTAAGTCGGTTCGTCTGCGCTCCAGTGTGTAACTCAGTTGGTGTGCGCTTTAGTGTTTACGCCAACGTATATACTTGCCGCTCATCTCCCCCTACCTGCTCGTTTATCTCGACGGCGTCGCTGATGGGCCTGTACTTGTACGGAACGGTGATGTTATTCTTAAACTCGATGATTCGCATGATCGGCTTGCTGACCTGCTCGATAAGTAGCTCGTTGAGGAGCCTCTTCTCGTACACCTCCTTGTTCCCTGCCACGGAGAAGGTGATATTCGGGTACTTCTTCGCACACTTTATAATATCTGACTTGTTCAAGTCACGTATATTGTCGTATAGGATAAAAAAAGTAACCGTATCGTTTGAGAAAAAAAGGGGGAAATAATACTCAGAAAATTTAATAACCAAGGGTTCGATTTTTTTTTGTATCCATTTTGTTAGTTCCTGTTTTTTTTCCTGCACGGAGTAGCCAGGATTGTATAAAATGCTTACGCTCTTGTCAATCAAGAAGAAGTACTGATCAAAGTCATCATTCTTGAATAAAATTCCATACATGTCTTTGCTCTGTAAATCTTCTAATTTAAAGTGATACCTTTCTGGCATCACTTGATTTTCAAAATAGGAGATGATACTTGGGTCAGTAAGAGCGAAGCAGAAGGTATTCCCTGTTAGGATACATATGTTGATTAGCTCTTTGAGCAGATGAGTATCCTTTTCCTTTCTGTTGATAAAGAATAAAATGGAGTTATTATATTCATCCAGTTTGAGGAACATGTCCAGCTTATTTTTATTTTCAATCGAGTAGACACTATTGTCAAGGTATTTATATATCCACATCATTATGCCTCGGATGCTGTTGACTCCTTTGTACTGATACTTCTCATTTTTTCTTAACATAAAAAGGGCAGGGTAACTATAAACAGAAAGCTTGTGAATAACGGCACTATTCACAGCAGCGTTTATTTTGGCTATCCTTACATTGTTGTCATATTTTAAAAGATTAGAAATGGTTTGCACATTTTCGAGTAGCGAACTGGATCTCTGACTCCAGTGTGTGTAGACAATGAGGAAGGTGAAAATCTTGTCATCCTTTAGCATCTGCTCCAGGTGGGTCATGTCCACGGACATTATTTGGCTCTGTTTTTCTCCATCGTTGCTGGTTCTACATGCCTTGATTACGATTAAGATGCATAGTAGCAGCTTGATTATTTTCATTTTTTTTTTTTCTCCTTTTTCGTGGTGTGCGTTGAAGTTAATTCTCCACTGCTTAACATAGAAGTGGGCGGCTCTCTGTAGGGGAGCAATACGCGGTTTGCATAGACATCCGTCCGTGTCTGCTTCGGTCGCACCTCCCTCGGTCACGCCTTTCCCGGGTCACTTCTTCCCCCCCTCCCTCTGAGCGTGATTATCATATAAGTACGCTCGTGTCGAAATTATTTTGGAATACATCCATCCACGCGACTAACCACACATAGGGATGCGCTTACAAACTGTGTCAGGTGAACCCTCTGTGCACTCTGCCTTCGTGCTGCCACAGCAGAGGAGAAAAAAAAAATTTCGGAAAATTTGTCCTCACCCTTTTGGAAAGATTTCAGCACTGTTTGGACAAATTCTGTGGAACAAAAAAAAATATATATATTTCTCTGAAGAAACAGACAACCACCGTTACGCTACATGTCATTCATGATGGAGTCGCGGCCCGTTTTATTTTGTTCTATCTGTGTGTACCGCTCTGTGCCATTTGGGAAGACTCGCACTCGCATGCCATTCGGAATTTCCGTCGCGCGGCGTCTGCGCGTCATTTGATGCGAGTTTATCGTTTAGAGAGGGGGAAAAAAAAAATAAAAAAAAAAAATAACATATCATAACATAGGAGGGACATGGTAAATCACCTCGCGGGGGCAGCAGAACGCGTTTAGCGGGGCACACTTGTCAAGACTCACATCAACCAGAACCGCTGCGCAGACGGGGCGACGGTTGCTCAGGCAAGAATAACTGGGGAAGCTCATCCGGATGGACAAACCCTTCCCTCTACAAGGAGGCATCTTCAGTTTTTTTCTTGCCGCAGGAATGTCATTTTGGGGCAAATTTTTCTACCAGCAGAGGAGCGGGTCCAAGGGGGAAAAAGAATTCACCGAAATGTGTGCTGTGGTTGACGGCGGGGAAGAGCGGAAGACGGGAAAAAAACGGAATAAATAGGAAAAGGCTGTCAACTGCCCTTCGTCCAAGGGGGGAAAATTCCTCTCGTAACTTCGCATGCACAGGAATCTGCGTCGATAAGCATTTGGATCCGCTGAGCGGGCGGGAAATTCCCAGCAGGAAGAAAAATACGGCCAGGCGCGGTGAGCACCGCCACGTGGGGGCATAAACTCGCGGCTTCGACATGTCGACGATCGGAATGGGAACCAGAATGAAGTGGACCATCGAGCAGCCCACCACCGCGCTTCCATTTCGGCGGCCAAATGTGCCCAATACAATTCTGGGTACGTACGGATGTGCGAAGTTGCGCGAACACACACGGGGGTACAGTTCGCTGGGGCGAACGTGCTTGTTCAAAATGAGGAGCACATAGGGGAAGGGGAAAAAGAAAAAATTTTCACAAAGGGGACAAGAAAAGGGTGACTTCCAAATGCCGTAACAGCTGCATAGGTACACGCGACTGGGTGAGGGTAGCCGAAGGGGGGAAAAAGAAGAGGGCCCCGTGGAACACGCGTTAATGAGTTCCTACTTGTGTGTTGACTTCCACAGTGGACGCCGCGCGACTGCCCAAGGAACAACACAAAATGCGAGGACGAAGAAATATCGCCCGTTCCGAACTAACCGTATATGATGCGGCTGATCGGCCTTCCTGCATGGGCCCCCCTCCTCCTTATGACCTGCAAAGCTTTGCAAATTCGGAAGAGCTGCTTCATCCCAAGTTACCAAAATGTGGGGCCCATCGGAAGCAGCGGCGAGGAAAAACTTTACACAGGAAGCTGCACTAGCAGTCGCCGCCGTAGCAGTGGACGCCCCAGAAGGAGCAACAGAGGGGAACAGAACAAATGGATCGTGTTCAGCAAAAATGACGAGATAGAGGAAACCAGGAAACCACAGGAACAACCGAGCGATGATTATAAAATGGCGAGAAAGAAGAACTTCATAAAAAAGTATGAAGTGAAACGGGAAGAAGTGGAGGCCTACATAGAACAAATGAAGAGAAACTCCACTAGTGGATATGAACCTCAATTTCCGAAGGACGCTTTTAGGACCCCAGATGGATTAACAAATGTCATTTTGGATTATAAATACAAGAATGATAATTTGAAGATTCACAATTATTACTCCTTTTTTGTGTGCTTTTTGAAAAAGCTAGCTGAGAAAGCGG